CACAGGTTCTGTGGCTGGATCCCCTGCTACTTCCACTGGGACTGGAAGGAAACTGCATCCCCCAAAAGAAGAATTAGCATTCACAAAGTTTCCATTCCCCTAAGCCAGTTGTTCCCATGTTGAGGAACATGGCGCTCTTTTGCAGTTCTTACACATATTTTTCAGTAAAGATTCAACAAGTCATATTGCATCAAAGAAATGTATCATACATTTTCTGGGGACTAGAGGGATTTTGCTGATTAGATAATACTTTATGAATATAATGTACACACACTTTCTACTTAGGTGAGAGTACTTAATTATCTGACAGAATCTTAACTCAATTCTCAAACAGCTGTATGAACTCACAAGATTTGGGAATTTTAAAAATGAGTTTCTGTACATTAAAGCGACTGAATGTCGGGCAGATGGCTCATATATCAAATGGTTGTCTGGTGCCATGGGATGTGCAATTCTGCAAAGTGTTAGCTAAATTATTCTCTCTGATTCACGAGAACAATGCCCAGGGCCTTCAATGGAAGCCCTGAAAGAATGTCTGCAGGGAAAGTTTAACTTCAATGACATTTTAAGTTTACAGCAAATGGAAGACCTTAAGTACTTCTAAGGTACTTATTTAAGTGTGGAACTTGCGCATTATATCAATTGGATTATCTAATTTGTAGTTGCTCAAATACCATTTGCTCAATTTTGAAATCTGTAAACAGGAATACCATGTTAGGTGGTAAAGACCCTGAAAAATCCATGTTAGACGTCTGGTTTTCCCTATATACCCAGAAGGTGTCATCACTGCTCCACAGAGGTTTGGTAAACAGCATTTATTTTTACCTAGAAGCTAAAATGCTTAGTTTTTAAAGGAAGAGGCTCTCACAATTGACAATGAGCAATACTATGTTCACGTCCTAAACACTCAAACAGTCTGAAGTAGATTCCATTTAAAATAAGAAAATCACATGTAAATTGGATGATGAACCAGACTATAGCATTGACCTTTCAATTCTTCAAAACTAGACCTGAAGACAAGTATAAAGCACAGCAGACCACTGAGCCTTTGCAGATCTTAATGCAGGATTGGAGCCTTAAGGTGTAATTTTAGAATGAGGGGATGTTATAACACTGTCTGCAGCAAGTCAACATGTCTGAATTTTCAAGGAGATTTAAAAATACCTTCTCCGGAAGCCACTCATAATAAATGGGGAAACCTAGTATAATTAAATATAATGATGAGCTAATCCTTGGAGGAAAAAATATCTTTGACTGATCCCACCAGGAAAACCTTGATAATCTCACTAAATCCTTTATATTTGCTTTTCTTTATTATCTCTAAAGTCATATGGCAACAGTGGCAGGCATAGCTGTTTAGACCTATTCTTTACACTACAGAGTATCATGTAGGGCTAAAAGGATTTAGGAGCACCCACTTACATGTAAACAGGAATATATGTTTTTTAAAGAGTGTATGTAGCTATAGTTAGGGTGTCTCCCCAGCCCAGGAGGTATTAATGCCAAGCCCAGAGTCTGTTCAGGCCCTTTCTTCTGGGTACATTTATTGGTTGCACTGACAACCTTTAGTAACCCCCAAAATAAAACAGTTCAACATAAGCCCAACGGCTTCTTTCCCACTGACTCAGAGGCTCCCTTCTCAGAGCCTCCCTGCCCCATGGCCTACCACAGGAGTCAACCGGTTTCCTGTAAATCCCATCACCCACCCTTCCAGCCTCCATAGGAATCAGATGCTCATCAGTCAGTCACCTCATCCCTTTCTAGCAGGATCTGATAATCCCCTCTACAAAGTCCAAACACCATTTTTTGAAGTGCCTCTGCTTCTGAACAGAGCTTGCTGGCCTTTGAAGGGAAGACTAGCGTGCTACAACAAACATATGTATGTTTTACATAATATTGGGCAATACACTTTCTAAATACTTTTGTGAATGGATCACTTTCCCTTCCAGTGTGCACAGAGGTGCATGAGGTAGGATCAATGTCCTCCTAAAATCCTGGCTGTACACTTATGGGCAAGGAATATTAGTAACTCATCTACGCAGACTGCAGAAAGAAGTGACTCACAGTCATGCCCAGCTATCTTCCCTCAGTGGATCAGAGATCCCATGCAGTATGCAGCCGCACCAGAGAAAATTAGTCAAAATGTTGACATAAGAATTTAAGAATATAAGAACATAAGACTGGCCATACTGGGTCAGACCGAAGGTCCATCTAGCCCAGTATCCCGTCTTCCAACAGTGGCCAATGCCAGGTGCTTCAAAGAGAATTAACAGAACAGGTAATCATCAAGTGATTGATGACCTACCATATGGGGTAGATTCAACCACTCACTCATATGATTAAACCAAGCCCATCAAAAACCAAGCAGAAATTTAAAGAACTACTGTGAAAATTTGTCAAAATGGTTTAGCAATCATTCTAACAGCAAATAAGATTTTCATGGATTTTCATCAAACATTTTCAGATTTTTGAAAAATTGTTCCCAGTTTCACAAACAAGAACATTTTCGTACTGGGAGATCTTGGCAGACCAGTAAAGTGCCTGAAACACTACTGCTTATTGCTAAAAGTAGGCAAGTTAGCAGGCCATAAGTGGGCCTGTGTAGCAGCCTTAGCATGACCGAGTCAGGAGGGGAGGGGGGTTGGGTGCCACAGAAAAGGCAGCTTGACCCCGCGTCCTTTCTGATGAGATCTCTGTTGAAATTGCTGAGATATGCATTTTAGGAAAACAGGAAGCTTGCCTATGTGTGCCCTCAGGGATGTGTCTGTTAGGGCTTCAAGGCATTCAAACTCTGAAAAAAACACATCTGGCTCATTGATGATCAGAAGGAAACCTCTTGCTTAACCTTTGAAATTGCTTGCTTATCAAGTTTTATTTGAGTGATGTGTTATTGTAATACTAATGAATAAATAAGGGAAGAAAGTTTGGGGTAGCTGTACTCTTCAAGGACTCTCCCCTCTGGACACATCTTGTGGTCCCCACCGGCAGATGGAAGATTGGCCATCGGAAGACTGCCGCTGTGCCACTCGAGAGGCACACCCAACTTTGGTAATTATTGAGGGTCGGGGGTGTTTTACTAACCTGTTGCGGACGTGTGTAAGTGCTTGAGACTAAGTAAAGTATATCTTTAAGTGAGAGCACTTTTGTGTTGTCCTGTTTGTGCCAGCCATCTATCTGTTGGACGGCCATGTCTCCCTTGATTTATTTCCTGACACCACCTCATACAGCGTAAAGTTACCAGGAGTTTCGGGTTGAAAGAACCCCAGATAACAATTTTGACCAACACAAACCTCCTTTTGTTACCAACATTTTAACCAGCTCTACTTGTTGTTTATTGCTTATATGACAGATCTTCATAAAACTATATTGGGTATTTCCCCAATTTTTCAAACACTGATTTTTGGGAAGGCCTTCAACTGACATTTGAGAAACCACACTACCCAAAATACAAGATCTAAGAACAAAAATTAACTTTGGAAAACTCCTTGGATTTAACAAGAACTTTGTGAAATTAAATGAAGAAAGACAATTTGTCTTTGGGCTGATAAATTTAGTAGCTTTGAACCTGTAATCTGGCTGCAATGTGGACAGTACAAAACTGTTACAAAAGATCTATACATAGCAAAATAAATGTATCTGGGTGGGTTTCAAACATGTATTTACAAAGAAACACACCTAGCTAATTTGTCAGAAATTACTGAACTTTGCTGCTAGCTGTAACCTATTGTCAAAGATGACTTTCATGTTTACTCTTCCTCAGCCCAATAGCTAGCAAGCACGTTAAGGGTGCAATTGCTTGTAAACTATGACATTTAACAAATCTAAATTTAAAACTTGATATTTTGACCCAAGGAAATGGGCTGCAAACAACTGCAAACACATTCATTTTTTATCATTCAACCTTCGAGAACCTGTACAGTTACCTTCACATAAAAGATTTTCATTAGAAACTATTATTAAATACAAACCTGCCAACCAAAAGGAAGCCATTTTTGTCCACAATGGAGAACATTCAGCTTCCCCCAACACTTCCTTTAAAGTCCTGTTATGGTGGTAAAAGGGTGTGACGTTTGGAGTCCACCCACAAAACCCCAGCCAGAGTGCTTTTTGCAGAACACTGCTACCAGCTGTGTCAACTTACACCAGCTGAGGACCTGGCCCTTAGGTTAAAAACATAGCTTAGCTCGCAAGTGGACATGAATTTTAGCACATTCATCCTTGCTCATTTACACAAAACTCACAAAATCACTACAAATTTGGTCCAAATTACAGGTCTTTCCTCAAGAGTAGATGAAGACTGGAGCAAAAAAAGATGATGCAAACTGAGATGAGCATTACCACCATATCTAGCTATTATTCCCTAGCAATCCAGTTCTGTTAGTTTTATTTCTCATGAAGACCAATTTACACACTCTTTAAACATCTATAAAGAATGGTTGTTAACATTAGGGGTACATACTGTAAGACTTCACTACCACACAGATATTTTTTATGGCAAACTTCCAGCTATCTTTAATGGATATATTGAGAATGTTGGCCTATCACATATGCTTTTTACCTGGTTTGAAAATCCACTATGACAAAATGGACTACAGAGGGGGAAAGGACACAGACACCGGAATTTAATATTTTCTAATGGCCCGATTCTGTTCTCAGTTACATCAACTACTAAAAGCATCTATGTGGAGGAACTCACTGGATTCAATGAATTTATTCTAGATATACACCAGAGTAATAGGAGATCAGAGTATGGCAGTAAGTAAATTGCATGGGAATCTCAGAACAAGTATTCTGTACATTCTATAGACGAGGGTTTAGGTCTCTTAGTCAAGGACTCAGCCTAGTCCACTTGGCCTGCACAGTGCTTTTGACAATTGTTTCAGATGTTCAACAAGAACAGTTCCTTCACCACTTTCAGCAAATTGCTCTCTACGACCTTTTGAAAGATAAAACTCAATAATTATACAATGATAAACTGAAAAAATGATTAAGGTTCCTACCAGCTGACTGCTAGATCATGGACTTTTAAAGTGCTGCTCAGCCTGTATACTCCAGATTTCAATGGCCGGGTGCATTCCTTGGCACGAGCAAGATAAGGGTTCACTTGAGTATCTATGGGAAATTCTGAATCCTAGGAAAAAAGAGAAGTATTAATTCTTGAGATTACTGCACAAGTTTGTGTAACAAATTATTTATCAATTTATTTTTGCATGTATACAGTTTTGTCTATTTTTTCCATTGCTCACTATTGGTTCTTTAGCATTGCTTCTAGTAAACTGCAGTCAGCCTCCAATCCTGCAAACACTAATGCATGTACTTAAAGCTAAGTACAAGTATGTTTGCAGCATTGGTGTCTATAAATGATAACACTGAGTATACTCAAAGACCTAATTATTTGTTTTTTCAATGCATGTTCCACGGAGCATATTTCTGAAGCAATGTTAGTTGTTAAAAGTAGCCCAAACTCCATCCTTCTTTAAATCTGAAGACTACACCGCTCAACACAGTAGTACGTTTTCAAAGTACGATGCACATGTACATGTGAATACTGTGAAATATAATGGAAAATGATGACCAAGTTCTGCTGTCATTTATACCCAGGCAATGTTACTGAAGTTTATGCAAGTATATGAATGTAAATAAAAGGAAGAAATTGTTCTCGTGCTTTAATTAAAATAGTCATTTATGAATCTGCTGGTGGCGGCATGTATGGGGCTGAAAAGTGAAATTTGTTAAGCCAGCAGCATAGCAACACAATATACAATTTAACCAAAATTCTACATGCCATAAATACTAGTTTCATAAACCACAGGGTGAACATCAGAAGAAAACTTATTATGCAACATGTTGTTGTTTAACCAATAGAAATCTTTTTAGTTTGTTTAGCCAGCACTACAGCAAGAAGTTTGATATTGCTAATTTGCTAATTTAAAAACCCTGGATTCAATCTAAGGTTGCCAACTTTCTAATCGCACAAAACCGAATACCCCTGCCTCACCCCCTGCCCCGCCCCTTCTCCGAGGGCCCTCCCCCCACTCGCTCCATCCGCTCTCCCTCCATCGCTTGCTGTACCCCACGCTCCAGGCTGGGGTACGGGGGGTATGGGCTCTGGATTGGAGGTGTGGACTCGGGGGGAAGGGATGAGGGGGCTGAGGTGCAAGAGGGGGCTCCAGGCTGGGACATGGGTGGCATGGGCTCTGGGCTGGGGGTGTGGGCTCTGGGGTGGGGTTGGGGATAAGGGGTTTGGAGTGCAGGAGGGGGCTCTGGGCTGTGGCAGGGGGTTGGGATGCAGGGTGTGTGTGAAGGCTCTGGCAGGGGATGTGAGGTCTGGAATGGGGCCAGGGATGAGGGGTTTGGGGTGCAGGCAGGCACTCAGGGCTGGGCAGGGGGTTGGGGTGTTGGAGGGCTGCGAGGTGCAGGCTCCGGGAGGGAATTTGTGTGTGGGAGGGGACTCCGGGCTGGGGCGGGGATTGGGGTGCAGGAGGGGGCCTGGGGTCCCAGCAGTGCTTACTGCGGCTCCCAGGAAGCGGCCATCAGGTCCCTGCACCCCCTAGGTTCATGGGCGGACAGGGAGGCTCCGTGCAGGGCCTTTGCTCTCGCAGGCATCATCCCCACAGCTCCCATTGGTCACGGTTCCCAGCCAAAGAGAGCTATGGAGCCGGCACTCAGGGCAGGGGCAGCGCGCACAGCCTCCCTGGCTGCCCATGTGCCATGGGTCTGCAGGGACCTGGCGGCCGCTTCCGGGAGCCATGTGGAGCCAGGGCAGGCAGGGAACCTGCCTTAGCCTAAGGCCCACACTGTGCCGCCGACCAGACTTTTAATGACCAGGTCAGCGATGCCGACTGAAGCCACCAGGACGTTTTCGACTGGGCATTCCAGTCAAAAACCGGACATCTGGCAATCCTAATTCAGTCCGGCACTGTAGCAAACTCATTTACAGACAAATGTGACTTTAAACCACCTTTACACTTTCCCCAATCTTCAACCAATATTGTCTCCAGTGTAATTTAGAGCTGCATATGGGCTATAATTTGCGCGCTGGCTAAAGCAGTCCTACTTATGCTGTTTACTTTTTACTTACTCCTGTTCATTTATTTTTTGGGGAAATTAGGTCATTTATTTTTTAGGCACCAAGGGCCAGATTTGCAAAGGCATGTCAGTGCCTAAAGATGCAGGTAGCTTCTTTTGAAAATCCCAATAGGAGTCTAAGTGGGTTAGGTGCCTGAATCCACTGAAATCAATGGAATTTAGAAACCTAATCTACTCAGACACTTCTATAATTCCCACTAGGCACCTAAATATCTTTGAAAATCCAGCCGTAAGGCCCTGATCCATTGAAATTAATGGAAAGAATCCAACATCGACCTTAATGGGCTTACAATCAGATCCTTAAATATTGTGTTATAGATACCTATCTTTCAGCATCCAAGTCTGAACTTTTTGGCAGACATTTAGATTGTATGTGCAATTTGTTATAAAGCAAAGATACCACAGGGATGATAAATACTTAGATTAGACTAATCTGCATTGTATTAGACAACCAGTATGGAATTGTAGTATAGAGATGGGCTCAAACTGCACAACCAGGACTGGATTTCAAATGCCCAAATGTTCCACGGTGTTTAGATTACGGATTTAGGTCTGACCATCAGACAAATGGGACCAGTAGCAAAATTTTAACCTGACACAGATTTCAAACATTAGAAGGGTTAAGATGTGTTGAGCCAGGGATTTTGTCTAAGACCATCCTTAGTAATAAATTTGTTTTTTAAACAACTACCAGAAAAATAAAAAAGTATTAATATCTAGTCATCAGAAAAGCATATTTTTCTTAATCTAGGACAATACTGCTAAACAGTGGATATGTCTCTATTTCCATATGGTTTTACAATATCACTTCTCTGATCAATGTAGACTCTTAAAAGTTTTCTAAAGATTAATCAACCAGCTAGAAGTTTTTATTACCTGCTCTAATAAGCCTGGCTACATGGGCTTTATTAAAAACAGATTGTCATTTAAGAAGGTCAGGAGAGTACTAATCTTATACAATATACTTTAAGGACTTAAAAAAAAGTCCTTGTATCCTTAAAGGAATTCTAAATATTCAGCTGACTGTACATGTTTGCAACATTCCCAAATACACTGTTGAAAATAAGTTTCATACAGAAGATTAATTTACAGTGTTCTTTAAAATTCCCATCACCCAATCAGATTAAGAATGGAATAGGATCCATACATTATCTGAGTATGCGCAGATAGCAGGGATACAGACATTCTTTTTAGTGTTTGCACTAGTTCTTGAACTCAGTCAAGATTAAATTGAAGGAATAAGCATAGGACAATTAAATTCCAAAACTGCAGAATATTAGGAGGGTATTTTAATTCACATTTTAAAACCTCTCTATAATTCATGTTTCTTGCTACAGAGTTCTCTCACCACTTGGTATCCCCTCATGGTCAAGAATGACATTGCTGCTCCTTACTGTACTAGCGCCACCTGTTGACAGTCACTCAGATGCTGTGGCAGTCTCTCTACATGGTACCTTACTCACTGAGACAGCCCACCAGACAGATCACAGTCTTTAATCCACCCCTTTCAGGGTCCCCATTTTCCACACTAAAATCCAAAACTGTCTCTAACAGAAACAAAAGGCCTTCCACCTTCTCTGGGGCTCTTCTTCAGCCCATCCTCAGTTCAATCTGCTGCTGGGTTCAACTACCCCTGTGAAGGGCTTGTCCACTCCTTGGGGCTGGTAGGGGAACACAGTCCCACCCTTGACTCCTGGTTCCAGCCCAGGGCCCTGAATTAGGTTGGATCCTTTACCGACAATGCAGTTTTCCCTGAGCCACCTCCTACCTCTTTGCTCCCCTTCTGAATCTCCCAGTCTCTCCCTGGTTAGTCAGCATTTCCCCTAGACCTCTCTGCCTGCTGAGATTTTGACTCTTTCGTCTGTTTTAGTCAGCATCTCTCCCAGGCCTCCCTGCTCTTAGCTTCCTTTCTCTGCTCTGGCTTCCCTCTACTGAATCAAGGCCCTGACGACTATTCCCTCCAACTCTTTCTCCCACCTGGACCCCATCAGCACTTAAACCTGGCTATTTATATTCCTCACAGGTGGGATTCATCCTGTAATCAGGATTGGCTTAGCCCCAGGCTCTCCAGCCCAAGGGCAAGTCACCTTGTTACACTTCCTAAATAAGCTCCAACCCTAAAAAGTACCAAGTACAATGAAGTACTGTAGGAACCCTCGATTCTGTTGCCAGCTTGCTGCTAGCCTGATGGGTGATCTTGGGCAAATCATTTCACCACTGTGTGCCTCACTTTCCCCATCTATAAAATGACCTCCTCTGTAAAGTGCTTTGAGATCTACTGCTGAAAAGCTCATAATAATAATAGCTAGCACTGATAATTATTTATAAAGTAGTTCTTACAAAGGAATGCAACTGATTGTGGGGAAATTACAGTGACCAAGCTGCTTCAGGAACTGAATATGCACAAAGAGGAGGACATCTTCATCTCACAAGAGAGACACTTTTGCCTTCTCATAACTGTTGTTCTTCGAGATGTATTGTTCACGTCCATTCCAATAACGTAGGTGCAGGCTGCCATGTGGCCAAGGAGAATCAGGCATCCCCTTGAAGTTGTGGTGGGGATATTGCCTGAGAGTCTGGATGATGTCTGTTATTGCTTGGAATCGGGACTCCGGCAGGATTGCTCTCGCCTGTACCGAGTCTAATGAATTCTATTCTTTGGGTCAGTGACAGCGTTGACTTGTTCACATTGAGGAGGAGTCCTAGTCTCTCAAAGGTAGCTCTGACGAACCGGACATGAGACTCCACCAGCTCCCTGGAGCGCCCCCACAGCAGCCAGTCGTTGAGATAGGGATACACCTGTACCTGCCTCTTGCGGAGAAAGTCTGCGACCACCAACATGCCCTTGGTGAACACTTGGGAGGCCGTCGATAGATGGAATGGGAGCACAAACCTCAGGAAATGTCTGTGAGCCGGACAGATGACTATATGAAAGTATGCATCTTTCACGTCGAGGGCAGCGTACCAGTCTCCCAGATCCAAAGAAGGTATGATCGTGCTCAGGGAGACCATGCGGAACTTCAACTCCACCATGAACTGGCT